TCATAAATTTAAGTCACACTCTCCCTCTGAATCAATTAGATAAGAAAGAAATCTATGGTAATATTCAGTACCATCGAAAGCAAACTTTAAAATATCTCAGAGATAAAGATAAAACAGACACTACATAAATGAAACATGTAGATAAGATCTTTTAGCTGAATGTGAGGAATGTAACAGAAATGACAGGGTTACCATGCATAAAGCAGATTCACAGTGATTCTATTAAGAAAAATAACATTTTTAATTAAAGATAAAGGACGAAATGGTGAACCAATGCAACAGTGATACTCACAAAATACTATGTTGGAAATGACCTTTATAATTGGGATCCAATGGGAAGAGAAAGAAGGAGGAAACAAGGGAGAGGGTAACACTGTTTGACAAGAAATATACTCATTTCCTTACTTTTGTAACTGTAATGCCTCTGTAAATCACCTTTAAAATAAAATAAAAAATAAAAAATTACAGTAAGGTATAATTGGCTAAACTTACATTGCTTCCATACAATTATGATCTATAATGTAAAATTGTATAATAGAATTTTAAATAATGTATGAAAATTAAAGCTTATGGTTGTGGTGTGTGTGTGTGTGTGTGTGTGTGTGTGTGTGTGTGTGTGTGTGTGTGTGTGTGTGTGTCAGTTCTGGGGTGTGAACTCAGGGCCAAAATACTGTCTCTGTGCTTTTTCACTCAAGGTCCATGCTGTAACCAATTGAGCCACAGCTCCACTTCGGGATGTTTCTGCAGGTAAACTGGAGATAAGAGTCTCACAGACTTTCCTGCCCAGGGTGGCTTCAAACCACAATCCTCAGATCTCAGCCTCCTTATTAGCTAGGATTACAGGTGTGAGCCATGAGCATCTGACTATTTGCCGTTTTTTGTGGTGTCCTAGATGGGGCCCAGTTCCTTGAGAATGCTAGGCGGGCACTCTCTCACTGAGCTACATCCTCTACACATCTTACTTTCAGTTGTTTATCTTATAACACTCTCTATGCCAAACTGCAAAACAAGAGACAGACATAACACGATACAAACAGAAAAAAATATATATTTAAGAATCAAGTTTATGATGATCATATTTCAGTGAACTATTTATAGACTTCATGCATTTTTCTCCAAAAAGTCAACTATGAATTCATGAGATGGTAATAGACTGAGAATAATATTTTAACTTTCTATAATTTGTCAGGCCATTCATTTACCTACCTCAACAACAGAATATAAAAGCTTTTTGAGAAAACATTATTGAGCATCAGCAAGAATTGTTTCAAGAAGAGCACAACATGAAAAATACTTGTCATTATTCTTGAGTAATTCAGAATGTAGACACAGAAGCAAGTAAATAGAAAAGGTTTCAGTTGTAAGAGGTAAATACTAGAGTGAAGGTAAATCCCAGAGCTCTCTGATAACACATTATAGTGGCTCCTGACTCTGTCTGGTGGTTGAGTCTTGTGGCTGTGGGGATAGACATGAAGGAAAGTTGCTCAAGGGGAGTCAACCTTAAATGAAGTCTTCAAGAATAACAGGTAAAGGAAAGGCCCATCTGGGAAGAAGCTGCATACCCAGCACTGGCAAAAGAATAAAAACCCCAGAGGGGCTGGGAAGGTGGCTCAGTGATAGAGCGCTTGCCTTGCATGCATGAGGCCCTGGGTTCGATTCCTCAGTACTCCATAAGCAAAAAAGAAAAGAGCCGGAAGTGGCGCTGTGGCTCAAGTGGTAGAGCACCAGCCTTGAGCTGAAGAGCTGAGGGACAGCGCCCAGGCCCAGAGTTCAGGCCCCATGACCGGACCCCAAAAAAAAAAAAAAAAACAGAATCAAGGAGATTTAGAAAACAGACAGAAGACAGAAACGAGGAAACAAGTGATCCTAGTCTCAAATGCTTGACTTCGCACACAGTTCTCTCTAATGGAGAAAAAAGGGCCTGCAGAGACCAGAAGTAGAGTAGCAATATGATCAGAAAAAAACTTCAGAAGTAACTTAGAACAGTCAAGAGTAGAAGATTCAAAGGAGCTGGAAGACAGGAACAGCCTTGGTAGAGATTAAAATGAGGGAATGGCTAGAACTTTGAGATGGAAGGTAGAAGAAAGGAGGATGACTACCTGTTTCCTGACATAACCTTACAGTAGTGGATGGTTCTGCTCCTGGAGATGGATAATATGGCAGCAGAGAAGAAAGGGAGAGAAAGTGGAAGAGAGGAAAGCTGGTCGTTTGTGGACCTAAGAACTTCCGGGAGAGGGTGGGGGAGGGGATGTCCAGAAAGTAGTTGGATAGGCAAGAATGAATCAATACTCATAAAAGAGCACTGACGATCTCCAGTGTTTGTAATAGGAGCTAGCATTTCTCAAGTGTTTGAGGCATGCGCAAGCACTCCATGAAACATCTTTTTGTCATTTTCTCCACTTGGAGATGACAAAGAGTTTGAGTAATTTCCCATTGGTCATAAGATATATAAGGGTCAGGATTGTGGATTTTATAACTAGAGCCCTTAACAGATTATACTATGCTGTATCATTCAAAAATCCATTACAAATTTTAGGATCTGGTAAAATGAGTTCAGGTCTAATGTCTGATATTTAATAACGAGATGACTACCTCCTTTATAGATGTTTAACCATCTGTAAAATGATAGCTGTTAGTACTCCATTACAAAAGATATGATGAGGACTGGAAAGAGTGTATAGAAAATGCTAGATGGAGTCCACACCTGCTGTACATGGCACCTGCTGTCCTATCTATGTCCAGAGGAAAAACTTCTACTCATAGGAAGATAGCTAACAATCTAAGAACATTACCCTTCATCTTTGGATGAAATTTAATTTCATATGACTACTCTATATCTTAATAAGTGCTATCATTTTTCTAAACATTTTTGAGACATTACTATACTCCTCAAATGTTGAAATGTTATTTAATTCAGATATAAATCATTTCAAGGTAAAGGGGTTGTTTCCTAGAGGATTTTTCTGATCTCTTTCTATGGTGAATTCCAAAATGAGAATCGCTGAAATGATCAGGCATGTTGAGGTAATGGAGAGAGTTCTGACTTGGAGTCAGAAGACTAGTGTGAAGTCTCAACTCTGCCACTTACCCTGCCATGCCAGCATGAACAGTCATCTAACAGCTGTTATCACCCTTCTCATACATATATGACCAACACACTGACCTATGTGTCTCTAAATTCAGCAAATAGAGTCAGGCTGAGATGCAGGGAGGCTCACCCTAAATTTTTGGTCGTTAAACCTGGTTGCAAATTAGCATCACTGGGACTGTAAACAATGATTTAAAAAATAGCAATCCTAGAATACTACTGGAAGGACACTAGTAATATTATAAATCTACAATTTATAACTTCTGGGCATGTTTGGTGAGAGGTGATCTGAACCACCACTCTCTTTACCTTCAACTGAATTCAAACCTTCTTTTATATACACACACTCTGTGTGTGTGTGTGTGTGTGTGTGTGTGTTTCTCTGTCTCTCTGTCTCTCTCACAACTGTCTTAATCAACCATCCTGTCATGCTGAGATCCAGTGTGCTTCAGATATAAGTCCTAGGAGCCCACAAATCCTTCAGTCTCTAGGAAAATGGTGACACTGGTAGGATATTGGTAACCTAACATCTCACATCCACCTATAAATGTGTCCACCTGCACGCAAACTGTTAACTAACCCTCATTGCATTAGAACAAAGTGAAGGTCACACGCTCCCTGAGCATTGCCACTCAGCTCCCGCCATCATCTGGAATCAGCTCCCGCCATCATCTGGAAGCAATCTGTAGTTAGAAACCTGTAAGGCCAGCAAGACCAAAACCACTGAGTGGCTGAGGGAAGAGACAGCAGTAGCTATGACTAGCACTCTCAATCAAAATTCATTCACTCGTAGTTTTATTTTTAATTGTTTTGAGGTCCCCAGAGCCATTTTTGTTCACTTTAGTAAATAAGCCTGGCAGTTTTTAAAGAATAACATCTCTACTACTTAATAGGCTTCATAGTGTTAGGGCATTTCAATTACTTGTTACATTTTTCTTATAATGATCTACAGGAAGTTAATATATATAATAGATAATAAAAGTAGACTAAGGTCATCTCTTTATGTAAACTGAAGCCACAGTTATCACTTCTTTTAAACAAAGTATCTGTGAGAATGGTAGCTATGCAGCACAACCTTCTCCAGTTCACAATTGAATTCACTGTCCACATCTTTGCTAGAGCCACTTTGTTATACACAAGTATCTTATCCCCAGTGGCCTGATGGAAACCTAAGGCTTAAATCATGATCATACAAGCTAATAGCATGAGCCAAAAGGACACCTTCCTGGTAAGAGCACATCTTCCACGTGACATCGTTTAGCTGTCTGTGTGCAGAAAGTCTTGGGCGACAGACTCCGGTAGTGTGTGGGTAGGGGAGGCTCTCCACTCACTGTCTCTGCTTTGCATACCATAAAGAATACTATTAACTTATACAGGCAAAGAAAATTCCCTAGCAAGCCTTTCCCTCAGTAAAATCTGAATCTTAAAACAATTGTGAACAAACTGGTACGTTCTTGGCCTTAGAACAAACCTAGGAAAATAAAGAAAGCCCTTGAGACTGTGGTTTTCATCCATAAAATGAGCAATAGGCACTTTCTCCTACTATGCTTCCTTCTGATGGCCAACAATCTATGCACTATCCAGTGTTTGGGGATCAAAACATAACAAAGGAAGTACATTAAATTGTTCAGCCTGTCTAACATACTCAGCATGATTTCAACACCCTGGTCTTTCAACCTCTAGCTTTCCAAGTGGAAAATCAAGGGAGACATTGAAATGTGACATCATCGTAAAGCAGTACCAGCATACTTCTTGAAAGGTCTGCTTCATGGTATTAAAAGAAAATTTAAAACTCAACAAAAAATATGTTTAACAAAAATCTTGCTGTTTTAGTATATTTCTTTTAAGTATGCTTTGCAGTAGTCTTACCAAAACTATTTGTAAGCAAAGCTGAGATAGAATGAAGACTTACTGATTGCTCATTTAAATCCTGGGAGTCTTCCATGTGGTTTGCTCACTGCTCCTGCTACAGCCAAGTTGAAGCAGCTCCCTTCAATTAAAACGTGGGCTATCTAAGGGAAAAAAGAAATAGAGAGAAAAGTAAAGGGTTATCTTTTCTATTCATTTTTTAAATTACCAATGCATATTAAATTCTAACATGTCATTTGTATAAGTTTTTTGAAGAATGAAGTCACTAATATTATCTCAATATACAATCTAAATAACAAGTTTACAAATAATAGCATGGTCAAAATTGATTTAGGAGAACAGTTACTCAGACATTTTGTAGGTAGAAGTATTTGAAGATCATTTTGGAGACATAATCTAAAATAAAGAAGACCCTACTTTGCTGAGACATCTATTCAGTCACCGCTAGATTTAAAAAAATCAAGAATCTACATTAGTCAAACATTTCTAAAAGCACATACAGTAGACGGAGAAATGCAATTTGTTATTGGAATGTGATCGCTTTTATTATAGAATTATTAGAGGTTCACATTTGCTTGTAAAGAATGAAATGTTAGGGCTGGGAAGGTGGCTCAGTGGTAGAGGGCTTGCCTTGCATGCATGAGGCCCTGGGTTCGATTCCTCAGCACCACATAATTAGAAAAAGCCAGAAGTAGCGCTGTGGCTCAAGTGGTAGAGTGCTAGCCTTGAGCTGAAGAGCTGAGGGACAATGCCCAGGCCCAGAGTTCAGGCCCCATGACCGGACCAAAAAAAAATTTTTTTTTTTAAAAGAATGAAATGTTATGAAATACACAACCGATTTTAAAAAGAATAAATATAAGACTGAAGAAAAAGTTCTCACATATAGGTGTGGGAAGGGAAACTGTTCAGTTAGCAACGGTGAGTCAATCAGCTAACTCTGGAAAAAAAGTTAATCTTCATTTCATGCTACGCCATATCAGGTGACTTTTTTCCATATGCCTAGATAAATACAATATTACTTTCTCCATTCAGGGACACTGAATAAGGAAAGCCAGCTAATATGAAAATGGTTATAGGGTCAGTTAAAACTACAGCATAGAGTGAGCATAAATTAGACATGTAAGTAGGCTCTCCCAGTGGCCTCTGTGGCTTCTGTAGGATTAAATTTCAATGCCAGCATCAGTAACCTGTTTAAGGGAGGACAATGTTGTGTTATTGACAAGAGCTCTCTACAGTATCTAGCTCAGTACCTGGAAAGTTTTAGGCATTTCTTAAGTGTTGATGGACTAACACAATATCATAAAAATCATAGAGTATATCTGATGACATAAATAATAGACAGCCAATAACTGCCATTTTAGAACTTCTTTCTCGAAGATACAGGTTCTTTAAGAAAAATGTTTCATCTTCATTCTTCAGCTACCTGGCTGGCTCCAATATACTTTTTAGTTTGTACTGGGACAAAGGAGCATTGGGAGAAGAGTTATTAACTACTTTTGGACATTTTAATTCTTCATAATATTCAATATTGAAAATTATTTCTTAGATAATTTCATACTTGCTTGATCTATTAATAAAATCTACTTCTAATAAAATCATCATTGATAACAGTTAAATACATTGATAACATAAAATCTAGCATGTTGTATTCATTTCCCAGGATTTTTCTAAATACCACCAACTGGGTGGGTGACTCAGAGAAAAAGAAATGTATTTGGGGGCTGGGAAGGTGGCTCAGTGGTAGAGCTCTTGCCTTGCATGCCTGAGGCCCTGGGTTCAATACCTCAGCACCACATAAGTAAAAAGAAAACAGCCGGAAGTGGCACTGTGGCTCAAGCCTTGAGCTGAAGAGCTGAGGGACAGCGCCCAGGCCCAGAGTTCAGGCCCCATGACCAGACCCTCCCCCCCCCCCAAAAAAATGTATTTGGTCACAGTTCTACAAACTAGAAGTTCTAAATCAAGATATCGGCAGATCTCTGCTTAGAAGATGCAGGAAAGAATTGTTCTTTGTCTCTTCTGGCTCTGGGGTTTGCTGGCAACCCTGGGTAGTTGTTGGCATATAGAATCATCATTCCAATCCTGGCTTCATCATCACATGGCATTCTTCCTTTCTCACCTGGACTTCTGTGTATGTGTATCTCTGTGTCCAAATTTTCTACCCTTTTTTACACCAAGCCTTAGACAAGGGCCAAGCTAATCCAATAAGATCACAGCTTGACTTGAAAACAACTAGAAAGACTATTTCCAACTGAGCCCATATTCACTCATGGGAGTTAGAATAGAACTTAAGTATAATGTTTAGGATACAATTCACTGACATCATCTATAAAATGATTGCATGAAAACTATTTTAAGATGTGATTAAGTTTGAACATAGTATTTCCAGGAAGGATATATTGATTAAGAAATGTGATTATCAGGAAAAAAGTGATCATTTTCCAAGGCACCCATGAATTCATAGTGCTGTCCCTAAGTTGAGGAAAATTAAAATGGAGACTTCATTGGAAATTTCTTGCAGCACAAGAAAATTAAGCAAAAAACTGTCCCTCTTGACTAACCATCAGTTCAGAATGTATTTAGTGTCCTAGCTGGGTAGTTATTTCCATTAATGTTCCATGTTACAAGAAAATACTTGGCTTTATATTTCCTTGAAATTTAGACTAATAGTTATTTAGCTTGACTTTTAGCAGTAACATGATTTTCATTCTTTGCCAAACTCACAAAGGTACTAAAATATTATGAGCCTAGTGATTTCACATTAGTGAACCAAGTAAAACTGCATGGGCTAATTGCAGACACAGTATTATTTTACATCATAATTTAGCAATGGTTGTTATGCTAAATCCTTTAACATTTAGTTTTCACAAATATATGAGCAAAGGCTGAGAACAATCTGTGAACCAAGTAAGAAAAGTATTACCTTATAAGAAAGATATAAAATTAAGGAATAACAGTAACCCCATGCTATTTTATGAGGCAATAATCTAGTTCCCAGTTCCACTGCATGGCCAGTCCCCTAGAAAAGGTGAATTTTAAACAGAAATCATAGCAACCTCTCCATTCCATGTAAGATTATTCTCCAGCAGCTAAGTTTCAATATACAGACAGCTCCTCCCAGCTTTTCCTTTAACTTTGCTGTAGGGATGAGCTATAAACTCCTGTGTCTTAAAAAAATTACAATAAAAAATTCTACAGTTCTTTTATTTCGAATATATGTGATGTATCTATATATGTATATACATATACACATATATACACATATATGTATGTATATTTATATGTGATGATTCTAAGAAATGAAACAAGGGACTGCAGACTGGTCCAGATGGTGGAAACATCAAGGGCCTCTCACCCCTGAAGTAGTATGGACTTAATTCTCTGTCTTTCAAATAAAACTATGTCTTCTAGGCATACCTTACACTGGCAAAGACTCATGGATGTGAAGAGCATCTCTGTGCCTTGGGTGACACAGGCTCAGGATGGAAGTTGTGCCTGCGAAAGTGTAACTCTAGATTTGCACACAAATGGCACTGTCTTCCACTGGCCACTGAAGCCTGACCCCCTGGTCTTCGTCACGGATGCCTGGCCTACCCACTCCCTGCGTTCAGGGATAACCAGTGCTCTCAGTATGTCCTAGAGTTCACACAGGACCCCTCACAGATCTCTCTTCTCACTACCACTACAGGAGTGCAAGTTCTCAGGGATCTTTGCCTACACCGAAGCAAAACCTTGTATCCATTTATTTATTTTTGCTTTGTAAGTGTTTCTTCTTCCCTCTAACCCTGTACTTTAGGCATCATTTGTTTCAGTGCAACTAGCCTGACACCCAATTTTACAATACCAATCTGCTTGTATTCTCTTCAAACCATTCAGCGCATGACTCCATCCTGGGTATTCATGAGACCCCTCTGCCATACAGTGCCTTGAAGAGACCCAAGAAGCCTGATGCATTTACTTCTGGGGACCACTGTCCAGGGTGGGAGCTCTGAGGAAGACGTTTCTCTTGCTTCTACCTTAGTCCTGCCCTGTCGTCACTGCCATTTCTTCACCCTGTCACTCACATCACAGGCCTGTACACTGAGTTTCTGGGAAAATGTAAACACCTGAGGCTATGATTGCCTGTTGCTGCAGGAAAATGAGAATAAAAGACTCCATTCCCCACTCAAGTTCCAAATGTCTACCATATTCTTGGAAAAGCTTTTAACAATCCTGGGCTGCCTGGCCTTTGGGGACAGTAGTGTGTAGATTCTGGGATGGAAAGGAAGGTGTGAGAATCATGCTACCTGGGACCCATTATGACCCAGATCTGTTTGGTTTTGTGCCAGTACTGGGGCTTGAACTTAATGGCCTGCTGTTGCTTAGTTTTGTTTTGTTTCTGCTTAAGGCTTCTATTCTACCACTTGAGTCACAGCACCACTGCTGCTTTGGGGTAGGGAAGAGTAGTTAATCGGAGATCAGAGTCTCCTGGACTTTGCTGCCTGAGCTGTGATCCTCAGATCTCAGCCTCCTGAGTAGCTGGGATACCTGAGCAGGCTATGACCCAGATCTTTTAAATCTCTGTGCCTCTGCAGTTGTTGGGCTATGGGAAGGTACCTACACATTATCTTCGTAATATTCAAAACAGTTTGATGATAGCTTGGCATTTGTAGTCTCAAACTGCAAGTACATTTTCAGTATTTTGTAAGGAAAAAAATATTAAGGCTGGTGGGCATGGTAGTGCATGCAATCCCAGCACTGCAGAGGCTGAGGCAGGAAGAGTAAGAGTTCGAGAACAGCTTGGGCTGCATAGCAAAAGGCTGTCTTCAGCCCCGCCCCCAAGAAAAACCAAATTAAGGTTTGTTCACATGGGGGTACAGTATACCCATATATTATATATCTATTACAGGGATCTATATTCAACTTAGCCATTAGGTGCATTCCCCAGGGTTTCTTCAGTTACACTAAATTACTTGTATCTAATGATTCATCTTGCTTAGGACACAAGCCTGAGAAAATATCGAGTTATTATTCTTCCTTCAATGGCAAAAGCCACTAGAATGTGAAACTTGGGAGCTTTTTACAGATACGTGGAAAAAAAGCTGGTCTGGAGAGAGAGAGAGAGAGGGAGAGAGAGAGAGAGAGAGAGGGAGGGAGAGAGAGAGAGAG